TATATATATATATATATATATATATATATATATATATATATATATATATATATATTTATATTTTCATATGTATATATTTATACTTTTTTTATTTTATTTATTTATATGTAGAAATATAATTATTTAGAATTTATAATGCGCGTACCGCCTAGAAGTTTATTTATTACAACGAACAATAAAATCGTATAACGCACCATTCTCTCTCTCTCTCTCGCTCTCGCGATTCTCTCTCACTCATACTTTCTGTCCCCGAGTCTGACAACAAACTTTCACGTCGCTCGGTGAAACGGCTGCCGCAATTTTTATCACTAAACCCCCGCGAAATCCAGACACAATAAATATGTACATCAGTGAACATTTGTACAGCGGAGCTTCCCTCTCGTCCCCCGTTGCATACACATCGCTAACGTAGCGATTGTAGTTTTGTCTGCTTAGTCTCGGCGATAGAAGAGCCCCGCAAATAATTGCGCTGCCTCCCAATATTACACACTACCCTAATATTCTTTGCTCCATTTTAAGCGATAATCCTATCTTCTCTCTCCCCGTCAAAATAATCATAACAGCTCTTCTCGATATCCGTTTCGCAACGGTGCGTCGCTCTCCCGCATCGCATAAGAGTCACGGCTCTCGGAAATTGAATCGTCGTCGATCGGCAGATCGGCAGGCTTGCGACGGCATATAAAAAAGCGATTTCCATCAAGAAAATCCACCTAACATATATCTCTTCTCTTTCTAACGAGCGCCTCGAAGTGTCTTACGAGAAGCTTCAAAGTGGAAGATTGTCGCGGATCACATGAAAAAACGGGGATGAAGTGAAAAAACTGCGACCCTTATTTTTGCGGATCGAGCAAAATGAAAGGTCACCAAATTGCAAAGTATGGACTGTATGGACGACATGGACAAAGCTCGCGCCGCGCGAGAAAGTTTTCGTTTTCTCTTTTTATTTTATTTTTTGTTTTCTGAAAGGGTTGCAGAACGCATGAGTTATTGATAAATTTTATTAGAATCTTTACATTCGTGAATTATTTACAGACACTTGCATATGTATGTATATGTTTGTGTGTATGTGTGTGTATGTGTATGTGTATATATACGTGTGGTATGTGTATATATACCTATATATACACGTATATACTACACGTACATGTACATCATAGCTATCGTTACGTTTAAATTTAGGAAAGAGACTTTCTCGAATTTCCGTGATAATACTGAAAAAAGAGGCTGACTTCGGAGAACTTTCCCGCTATCAAAGCCGCACGAAACCACATACAGCTCCCGTTGTTTGAAAATTTTTGGCATTTTTTTTTTCTTCGCGATACCTTCGTCGATTTATACAAAACGCACAGTAGAAAAAGGTATATAAAGACTCAGGATTCGGCCCAATTTTCACATTTTTTTTTTTTTTCTTTCTTCTCTCCCTTTCTCTGTCTCTCGTAAGACTCTCCTAACGATATTTAGCGAACGTAAATACAATTTCACGAGGATGATCGACACACTCTTCTATTAATCGCGTGTCATTTTTCTTTTTTTTCTTCTTTCCAGTGAAATTCGACGGAGAAACTGCGCGTTGATAAAAAAAAAAAAGGAGAAAGAAAGAACAATTCTCGCTTAATCTCTAGCATTGCACGCTTCAGGGACGGTACAGGTTCAGGAAGCGAGATCACACGTTTTGCGATTACAGTAATAAGAAAGAAAGTCTTGTTCCTCCGCGATCAAGCCTCTCTAGCGCTCAAATATAAAAGATAATTCACAGATTGATAAATAATAACACTAATAATAATTATTACACAATGACAATAAGAGAGAGAGCAAATTGACCCATAACAAAAATTTTCGATACATCTCACAAAACTAGCAAATCATAACGATACTTTGGAAAATAGTAGGCTACAGTATCGGGTTTTATTGTCCATCGAAAGCTTCTCGATAAACGACACTTCTTCTTCTTCTTCTATTTTCAGTTTTATTGCAATTTCGCAACCTCTTGTCGCGGCAAGAGAAATGAACGGAAAGTGTGAGCCGGTTACAAGAAGAGCGATAGCGACACGCGCGCAAAATCAAAATTTCACCTGTCTGCGATCGAGAGCGAAGCTATAGTAATTTTGTGCGAAATTCGCGCACGCGTTGCTCGGACGGAACAACACGCAGCGATTGTTACATTAACTCGTGTATCCGGTCCTTCTACCCCGACAGTCCGACAGTCGTCGCGTTCGTGAGGACCTGATGTGCTACGCAGTCTTCTGTATCGAGTCTCGAGTTCGCGTCCGACCAAGAGACAGGCTTCCTACTCTTCACTTTTTTATTTTTTTTTTTTAAAGAAATTCGTTACGCTTAGCAACCAAATTTCACTAATCTAATCGCCAGAAACGCACATGGCCCATTGTTACTTCCTAGTTAAACGCATTCTACAAATAGACTCCTCCCGAGAATACACGTCAATCTCTCCTCGCTTTCGCAGTTTCGTACGCCGAAGAGGGGAAACAAAAAAGTTTTCTTTTTTTTTTCGAGAGAGCCTCTACTCGCTTGTGTGTAGTAAAAATAAGTGGCTTCACGTGATTACCTTCATATAATTGCGTCTTCATTTGTACGAGAGATAATTCTGGAGGTTTCCTCGCGAGAGTGCAAAATAAAAAGAGAGAATAACAAAAGCGCCTCTCCTGCCGGAGAGATTGTGAAATCGCCACGTGCGCTTCCGCCGGCGCGCATCCTTAAAGCTAGACGAATGAATCGATATACGTTTTACTGCCAGATTTATTGACGTGATATAGACGGATGTACATCTGGGCCTCGATAAAGCGCGAGTTTTCATCGTGAGAACCAAGAGCATTGAGAACGTACCTTCTAGACCCTGCGTACATTAATGAAGTATTGCGCGGATCCGCGGCGATCGAATCCGCACGGTGCGAGAATTTGCGCGTAGTCTCTTGCGGTCGAACATTATATAAATGCATTGTATTGAGACGTGCGATCGTGCGAACGCTCCCTCGAAATGCAAAACTATTCGTGCTTCTTCCACGGGAAATCGCGCGGGAAACTCGCGAGAATCGGACTTCCTCAAATTGCAAAATAAACTCAACAGCTATGTAATTTAATGGGACACTGGAAGCTGCGGCTGTCTCTGTCTCGAACGAGAGAAGTTGCAAGTCACAAATAACAGAAAAACTGAGTGGACACTGATACAAATAAAAATTGAGTCATTTTTCTGGCCCCCGAAAAAAATCATGATGATAACTATGCAGGTGATAACTTTACGAGTTTTCTATGCAGAATTATAACGCACATATATCTTAGGAAATTATTTTATAGTTATAATTCTTTGAAGCTTTAATATAAAATAGCTACAAAATAACCATGAAATAGTTTATTAAACTATATACATTTATTCTACGTACAAAAACTCGTACGATTATCATCTATATAGTTAATAATAGTTAATCTATACAACTAATTTATATAGTTGCGATCGCAATGTCTTTTTCTCTGATTATATAATTTGCGTATTCTTTGCAAGAGAATTCGCAAGCGAGCGAATTGCAGATAACAAAAATTTCACTGGCATTGTAATTTCCGTGAGAAGAAACGAAACGCAGATCAAAACATAGAACATTACGCGACTTGCGGTATGCGTCCGTTCAATCGCCCCGCTCCAGTCATCTCTTCTATATATTTCACAAAACGTAAAGGCAGCGCATGATCGGTAATTACCGCTAACCAACAATCAGATAACGAATACCTGGAAGCGTCCATTACAATGTATTCACGCATATCGCAATGTTGCGAGGAAACTAAAGACGTACTCTGCACTCTGTACGTGTGCGGAAGCGTTCGTTCGATCGAATCGTCATCGTCATTGTCGTCGTTGTCGTCTCCGTTTCTATACTAAAGAGATGCACGCGCTCAATCAATGACCCCTAAGATATGATAAATCACAATTGATACATCCGAGGTATCCTGGTGCTCTCCGCCGTCGAATATCGAATAATCTAAATGGTGTTCGAGTTTGATTTAGTCGAGCAACAGACCATGGTCCATCTCGCGCTTGCATCTCTTTGCCGCAAGAGAAACGCAACGATCGCCTCTCCTCTCCTCATTTTCTCCCTCCCTTTCTCTTTCCCTTTTTTCATCGCGCCTCGCTTGTGTGTCATCTATAAACGTATAAAAGCACTACTCGCTGCGATGGAAAGAAAGTCACGAATACAAAATCCTTCCCACGATTTACGAAGTCACAGCTGCCACTCAACTTGATGTCGATCGGCATTTGAATTTACGAGCACGATAAAAGAAGAAAAAAGAAGGAAAGAGAGAGAGAGAAAGAGGGAAAAAATACGTTCGTGCGTTCGAATATTGTTCGACCAAAATTCGTTGCGTCTCTCCTCGGCTGCGGCAACAACGACCGCTACACGCCAAAAATGGAAACGAAGACGAGAACGAAGAATGCAATCCCAAAAGCGGATTCATCCGCTAAAGATTTCGTATAGATGGTGGTAGCTGGAGATCTCGATCTTCGAGCAAACACCTGCGTTTTGTATGTGGTGTGTGTGTGTGTGTGTGTGTGTGTAGACTATATATCTCGTAAGCACATTTGGTTTTTATATTCAACTTTAATATCACGGAAGTCTCTTGAACTCCTCGGATCTCCGATGCCAACAACCAAGACATCCCAAGGTGGCGGCTCGCGGATTTTTGGTGAACTCCGCGCGAGTTCCAAAAGTTGCCAATGAAAACTAAAATGTCAGCGAGTTTTTCGTGGAAATATTTAGAGTCGCACCATATTTCGCAGAACACACCGTGAATTTCATCCCTGCTTTTCTAACATCCTAATAACGCCGATAGAAAGTCCCGCTTTTCGCTTTTGTCGAGAGTACGGCCACTATCGTTATCTCTAAGCTTGTATAAAAACGATACCTCTTTGTCTGTTTCTTTTTTTTTTCTTTGTTTTCTTTTCCCCTTTGTCGTTTTCGTCGTTTCGTACACCAAGGACGAGTGTGAGTGCGCGAAGCAAACTATATTGGGACAACATGAATCTTGAATAAATACTTAATATTACAACGAAATCTTAAGTATTTTCTTCGTAATGTCACCGCTATATAGTTTGTAAGAAAATAAGATACTTTACTTGAAGATTTTTATGTACAGATATTACAAACAACGTTTCGCGTAATGCATAGGCAATGCGTCCTGCTACACACTTCTATTATACATGCCGCGGGGAGGGTCTATATATGGGGTCCGCCCAACATCGATGTTCGATTCGTGTAGTGTGCCAAAAATTTTGTCAACTTTCGATTTGGTATCGTCCCTGACGAGAGCAATTACCGCTTACACCGACAACAGCACCGGTCTTCTTGAAATACAAGCAAGCAATTTGATACGAATTCTATATTAAAATCCACCAAGCAAACGAAAATTAAGATCTGTGTGCACTTAATAAATGTTATCAATTAATCACTGTATGCTCTCTGTAAAATTTTAGACAAACCCGAGAGATTTTTATTTCAGTCGATATTTAGATAAGTATATCTGGAGAAAATTTTCAGCATTTATCGAGATAAGCAGTACTTGCTTTTCTCACTCTCGAAAAAGGAAGAAAGAGGGAGCAACGACGAATCTTATCGAGACCGATCGAACCGTATGTTGTGTTTTTCATTCCTCTTTAGTTTCTCTTCTTTTCAGTTCCTACCGCCACACTCTCTTTCTCTCTCTGTCTCTCTTCACGCAAATCTCTTTCTCCACGAGAAGAGTTAATCAACAACCGCACTACGTCGCCATCATTATATGATATTATTTACAGATGAATTTTGTTCGAACGTAATTTATTGTACTTGAGTTCTTTCGCGGAATTTGGTTCGCGGTTCATCTCCTTGGCTATCAACTACTGGCAACTCGAGAACTCTTTCGATCGTCTTCTCGTTATCTCCGTAGTCTCGGCAAAGTCGTGCGATCCGTAGCCGAAAGCCGGCCAAGAAGTTTCCGCTTCTCTGAGGAAGAGAAGAAGAAGAAGAAACTAATCACAGCGAACCAAGTTCCGTGTCGGTCACACGAAATATTTAACAAGCCGATCTCGATAACAACGGCACGGCGGATCGATAAACTTCACAGACGTCCGCCGTTTCAGCCAACAAAGTTATCCTTAACTCAACGTTAGATCGCGCTTAAAAATCTGTGCCTATCTGTGCCATCGTTCTTGTCGAGGACCTCTCCTTCTCTTTCTCTCGCTCGCACGCATCCCCACATCACAACAGTTCTCTATGCGGTCTCTCGACCGAAGTGTTCCTAACGTCCTCAAAGTCGTAGCACAACTTCGACGGGGCTGGGAGTCATTTCGGGAAACAGGGGGCAAAGGAATCATCGCACTGCAACAGCGTTCTATACTCTAGTGTTGTCTATTTTAACGCCACATCTGAGCCACACAGGCATACACGCACATACACGCACACGTGCGCAGGCAAGCATACGCACGCATATACACGCACAGTCATACGCACCATCACGGACATAACGTATATATATGTACACACAGGACGAGATATACCACCGCACTCACACGAGGAAGTCAGGGTCACTGTAGTCCTCGGCACTGTCGCTACTGTCGGAGATTCTTCTCCTCTTCTTCTTCTTGTGCTTTCTCACCTTGTCCGTCTTGTGAGCGCGGTGCTTGCGGTGTTCCCTCGCATCCGGATGGGCGTGTATCGTCAATTTAGGGACTCGCGGTGTCGTCGTAGGCGTCGTCATCGGCGCTGCCGCCGCCGGCAGCGAGTTCACCGAGTTATTCGGATGCTCCGTCGGAGCGGAGTTCAAATTCGACTGCGGCGCTGGCAGTGACTGACCGAACTGCTGGCCGGCAGCGTTAGCCAGAATGTTGTCACTCGCGACACTGGCGTCCGCTATCGTCCTGCCGCCTTCCGCGTCGGGATGCAGCGGTATCCTCTGCGTCGTCTGTGGATGTTCCCCCACTGCTTGCTTGCCGCCGCTGGTATCTGCAACGGCGGTGGCGTCATTACCGCCGCAACCGTCGTCCTCCGGCTCCTCGGGATCAAACTTGAGCATCAGCTGTTTGAAGTCCAGGTACTCATGCACGAGCTTTCTCCTGCCATTCTCGTCCAGCTCTTCGTTAGTCACATTTTCGCGTAACCTCTGAAGCGTGGCCTTAGGGTCGAAGTGCAGATTGTTCTTGCGATTCACCGCCTTCTCATATACCTTAGCCGCCTCTGAAGGCGAGTATTGCCCAATCTTCGCGTCGGAAAAGCCGTAGAGATCCTTGAGGTGCTGTCGTAGTGTCAATAAGAGCAGGAAGCCTTGACTGGCGGTGATGTACTCCCTGAGTAGAGTAGTGTCGTTTGGTAACCTGGACAAGAGAATTTCCTCGTCCTCCTCGTCGTCCTCTTCGTCCTCCAGTGATATCAACTGCTCCGGTCGTGGTTGACCATCTGGACCCAAGATCAATGTCTGCGTTGGCGCACTTTGCGCTTGTGTCGACTGTGTGGTACCTTCTTTGGGCAGCAGTGCTTCCTTGAAAGACTGCAGCAGATTTGTACCGGACATGGAGATGATAATGTCGATGTGATGGATGATGAACAGCGGCTCGTCCTGCACCTGATATGTAAAGTAGGCGAGATTATCTGCCAGGTACAGCATCTGCGACAAGCTGGTCTTGGCGGTCTCGTCGAAGTGTTTGAGAAAGGACAGCACGATCGCCCGCCTCTGCTGCTTCGTGTTGCGCAGTATCGTGTAGAGAAAGCCGTTGAGAGCGCCTGGAAATTCACCCTCCCTGACTCGCATACCTCTTACTGTAATGTCGTTTTGTAGTAGCTTCTGCAGCCGGTAGCTCAGTTTGATCCCGAACTGCGATTTCATGTGAATGAAGCCGGGATACTTCTTCTCTATATCTTGGAGCTGCTTGTCCGCGCTGTGACTGACCGCCTTCTCGCAGTCGGTGCTCATGCAAATCAAGTAGGGCACTATCTGGACGGGATGTACTAGGCCCTGCGCCAGGATCAGCTGGATGACCTTCAGAGCCGCGTGTCGCACGCTTATGTTAACGTGCAAGAAGGACTCGAGGATCTCCTTGATGTAGAGCTGAATTACAGTGCTCGCCATTCCCGACGACACGTCTCCCATCTCCTTCAAGTTCTCCTGCTTCGACAGCTTCGCCCACTCGAGATCTTGCTTGATCATCCGCTTCTCTTCCTCCTGCAAATACACTTCAATATTATTTAGCACCTGGATCCGCATGTGCATCAATGCGTGCTCCGACGTGAGGAGGTGATGGTAGAGCTCCTTCAACTCCGGCAGCATCATAAACTCGTAATGCCGTATGCAGAGGGAGCCGATGGCCGACAGCGTGAAGTGCCGGATGTCGTCGTTGTCCAAATGAACGAAGTAATTGAGCGTCTCGAAAACCTGATCCTTGATGTTATCCGCCAAGCCTTCTATCACTTCCGGATCCATGAAGTTAAAGTGACGTAACAATAAACCGACCGTAAACAATGCCCTCCGGAAGAATGGTCTGTACTTCAACAGCATGGGATTCGTGGGGTCCCTCTCGTAGAACGATTTGTACTCCGTTAAGTGTCCGTAATATTTTTTGAAGCAGTCTCGTATTAGCTTGAAATTGCGCGTTACATTATTGACTATGGAGCCTAAGCACGACAGGCAACTCGCGACTACCGATCTATCGTGCTGCAAGATCAGTTTCACAGAATCCTCTTCCAACTGCGCTAAAAAAGTCTCGCTGGGGTGCTCCATCAGAGGCACCACCAATTCAAGCGTGTGAGCGACGCTGCTGATAATTTGATAGTCACCCTGCGTCTGACACTTGAGACTCAAATAAGGCTGCAAGGTGATGGCATGATTGACCAACAGCCGCGGTCGGATCTTCGCAAAGAGATAGAGCGTCGTTAGACACGCTACCAACCTCTGCGACGAGCCCTTTCTTTTCGACTTTTCCGTATCTTCCAAATTCGTCTCTTCCAACCGCAGCACATTTTCGATCAAACAATCCACGATCTGCTTACAGGCCGTCAGCAAAGCTCGTGGCGGCTCTGTTTGCATCTTCGTGCTGTCGTCTTTGTCCTCTTTCGGCTTGAATAGACTCACTAATAGTTGCTCAAACCACTCGAGTCCCATATCTTTGCTAGCAGCCACGACGTCCGTGATGTTCATGACTTTCCTCAACAATGACTCGGAGTCGAGGCTTGGACGTTCTCTCACCGGGGTGAACCACATATTTTGGAACACCTCCATGACGAGCTTGCGGATGCCCTCTTCGTCATTCACTCTCCTTATCATCTTCACGCATATCTCCGGGATCTTCGGGAAGTCGGGGCACTCCATGCAAATGTCCTTGAGAATCTTAATAACGCGTTTACGTACACTCACGCCGGTGTCCAGGATTCTGGCCGACAGCATGTCATAATACTTGTCGATCAGCTCGGGCCTGCTCAGGACAAACTTGCCTACCAAGTCGACCGCTGCTTCTCGCACGGACGTCGAGTGGTCGAGGAACGAATGCTTCACGCCCAGCTGCATGTCCACCCTCGCCAGCACGCTCGGATCAGCTTCGACAATCATCGTCAGGCACTTCATCGCTTTAGTTCTGATAGCGATTGATGATTCCGTCAACACGTGAAGGATCTGCTTGAGGTATCTGTCGAAGCTCTGCGAAAAAGGTCTTTTGGACGCGAGATATTGCGAAATCAGCTCCGCGGAATTGTAATCAATGTACGTCTGGAGGATGTCCAGTTTCGTTCCAGTACTGCATGGCCTTATTCTGCTGACGATGTACTTTTTCTTGTCCTCAATGATTCTGTAAGCCTCTGAGTTCTTCTGCTCGTTATTGTCATTTTCGTCCGGGTCCTGTTCGTCCAATTCCGACTCAGTCTCCTGATCGCTATTGTGATGTCGATTCTTTTTCTTTGCCCGCTTCTTGTGGATCTTCTTGCTCGGACTGTTTTTCGATTGGCCTACCCGAGACTTCTCCAGCGCGCAGTCCCGATACCATTGCGCCAGATAAAAATGACGCGCATATCCGAGAGCGGAATCTTTCGTCCCGTTAACCGCCAGATAATCGAGCAGCACTTTCTGCAAGAACACCATCCTCTCCTCATCCTCGCTCAAGCCCATGATGTCCTTGTCTTTTATCTGATCGTAATCCGAGTCTTTCTGCTGTTCGAGCTTGATGTCTCTTATGATTTGGTCGATGGTCGATAGTTTGCATTGAGAGCTGACCGCGTCTTTGCGTAATCTAGCCGCGACCACACCGAGATAATCGATGGAAGCCACTCGCAACGACATGTCAGAACCTTTGTTGGAGAAGTGCCCTACCAATAGATTACCAAGAAGACTCAAAAGCAACTCGGCGGCGGGCCACTCAGGCTTATTTACCGTCGCTAACAAGTCCTGCACGAAATTTTCGAATAATGGCCTGTAATCAATCTCTTCACCCTTACTGCCGCATTTGTTGAGGAATACCGTTAAAAAATTTCCAGCGATTCTCGTGGCGGTCTCGTATCTGTTGATAATAAATACGTCGGCGTCCACGTGACTCGATCGCTTCTCGTCCTTCTTTTCCTCGTCCTCTTTCGATGATTTGGAGTACGATAATGCATTGTCTGACAACACCACTACGCACTGTATGAGCTGCAAGACCAGCGCGGTCAGCATTTGTATGTGATCCTCGGAATTCAACCTATACGTACGTAAGCTTCTTTTACTGCTAGGTAATCTCGCTATGGACGCCAGGATATCATCCAACAGCAATCTTCTGTGCTTCTCATACTTAGTAAATATTATAGTGACGAGTTTCAGCGCGCTCAGCTGGAGGTCACTCACCGACTCGACAAAAAATGGCGCGACACCCAACGACGATGCGTGAAGTACACTTGTGTCCGTTAAAACCTGTATGCTCAACAGCTCGGCCAAAAGACCCACCAGCTCGTGCATTTTGTTATAGACCTGCAGGATGCTTTTCTCACGCACCTCCTTCATGTGGCCACGCTTCTTACGCCCGCTAGAGTTATAATTTTCAGTCTTATTCTTCGTGTCTGTCTTGTAGACAGGATCGAAAGAGGGATAGATCGTATTCTGCAACTGAAACTTCATAAAAAGAACTATTCGGTCGATTACGTCTTCCAGATAAACCGTTTTCGGCATATTGCTAGAGGTCATAATATGTAGCGCAATCAATGACGCATCTACGGCACGTTGGACCCGTTCCATGGCCAATTGCATCCACAATCGTCCTTCCTCGACGTCGTCGTCCGGATCCACGAGAGGCGACACCCTAGCGCCGTCCCGTATGTTCTTTTCCAAGATATTCAGTAGTCTCACCAGCTTGTCCGTGGGTATGGATTCCATGGCGCCAAGGGTCTTGAGTTTAGCTGCTTCCGTACAGAGGTCGTGCAGCTGATACTTGGGAATAAGCATTTCCGGGGACACGTCGCCGTCGTCTTCCATTTCAGGGTTCGCAATAGCATCTTCGGTGTTCTCAAAGATCGTTTCGATAGTGGAGTTGAATCGCTGGTACATATTGGTCTCCATCAGCTCCTCCACGCTCAGTTTTGCTAATACAGGCACTAGCTTTTTCTCAATCTTGCGTATTTTTGGCTTTATAGGCGAGAATGACGCATCCCGCTTATCATCCTCCTCATCATCATCCGTTATCCTTTTTCGCCGTCGCTTATCTTCGCTCTTCCTCCGTTCAGCCCTTTCCTTCTCCCGTTGCACTTGCCGCTCCTTAGCGCGCGCTTTGAAGTACTTGTTGTTCTTACCTATCTCCTCCTCGCTCTCCGAGTCGGACTTGGTATCGTCACGGTTGGAGATACCCATCTTCGCCGCGCGACTCGGCGACTTCTCTGCGAACGCCGCCAGGCTCTTCTGCATGAGCGCCTGATCGGCCAGCGATATTCTGTTCAACATCACAACCGGTTCTTTCAGCTTTTCCGTCAACGAACCGGGTAGTTTCATGCCTTTCTCCGAATTGTTATTTTGCTGATGCTGCACGCTGGACGAGCCATTGGCCGCGGGGTCCAAGGCATTGATCATATCGGTGGCGTGGATATTCGGGTAAGACGTGGTAGGGGGAGTCGGTAATAAGTGTTGCACCGCATGATGATCCACATTTTGTCGTGCGTCGATATTTTCTATCGGCAAATCGATGTCGGGAAGGCCGGTCACCGGGTCGAGGAGGAACTGCTGATTCTCTTGCACCGCGCTGTCAATGTCCAACGGTTGACCGCTGGCCAATCCATGATGCGCTTGCTGATTCATCATGGGATCATAAAGATTCTGCTGCATGCTACCCATGGTCGAATGCTGCTGCAGCGGCACGTTGGTACGTATAGGAGACGCCATATGCATGTTGTGCTGCGGCGTCATACTAGCCATATTATGATGCTGAGGCGTCACATTACCGAGTGACGTCAGTGGCGCATTCGGAGGACTTATGTGCGCCGGTGAGTACATGTTCGGCTGGAGAGCCACGTTGGACAAGGGGTTTATGCAGTTCGCATCCTCCTGCATGTGCTGGGGCGTTGTTAGCGTTCTCGTTTGTTCGGTCATCACGTTTCCTCTGGGCGACGGAGAAGGCACGGCAAACGGGGACATCTGCGAGATGTCCGCGTGATTCTGCGGCGTTATCGGCATCCGCGGATGTTGCGCGTGGGAAATGCCGCTGGCCGCCACTGGTGGCGGGAGTACAGTCCTGGCGGCCGCAGAATGAGCCGGACTACCTTGAGGCGTTTGCCTGGACCCCGAAGAGCTCGAGTAGGACGGCGAGAAGCGACCATAGTTTGCCGGCGACTGATTCGCATGCAGCATAGGCGTACCCTGCGTCCAGTTTCGGGGAGAATTGTGCTGAGGTCCCTTGAATACATGTGGATTTATCTGTAAGATTGCTTTGAGCAGCTCGGGCGTATTCTGCTCAGTCTCTAGCGATTGTTCCGCATTTGCATAATTGTCCTTGAGCTCGATGTGATCCGCCGAAGTCTGCGACAGAGACAATATCAACTGCGGCACGAGATTGTCGTCACGGACACTCAGCAATATTTGCGCTTCCTCGGCCACTCGTGGATGAAACAGCAGGGACTTGTTAGTCAGAGTTTGTGGCAGCGGAGTCGGCAGGGGCATTTCAGGCAACAAGTCAGTGAGACTCGCGATACCAGCGAGGGTAGTTATTGGCACACTCGGTACAACCCCATTCATTTTGAGTTTGATTTGTTCTGGCATTACAGCCTGGACAAAAAGAAGAAACAAAATCAATTTTAGTGTTCCTAAATGTCACCTGGACTTCGTGGGACAGTACGATGCGCTGAGCACTGCACAGGCATGCTACGAGTATTTGTTCATGATATGCAGTAAATGTAAATCAATGAAACATGTCTCAGTGCACAGACTACACAAACGTCTAAATAAATCATCGTTGAAACTTTTTCACTGCACATCATCAGAACATACCAACACAAATATTTTTCACCATCCAATGGAATAGTTTCTGTTCCTCTTTGAGGAGCACTAGCACTAAGGCAAATATTGGGAACTTAACAAAGTTCTCTTTAAGTTCCCATGTTGCACCATAAGAGTTTCAACCAAATTTCGATGAAGCTCGTGGGTCCTCCAATAAACGATCCATGTTTAACACTTTGTATTCCTGCAAATAAAATGCGCCATATGTAGTTTCATTTTACAAACTCTTCTCTCTCTGCCATACACATTAGATATTTGTGTATTTTCACAAGAAAACTAAATTTAAAGTCATTCATATGATTATAAGCAAAAAAATGTTACGCACAAGCAAATACAGTAAACAAAAGTGAGAGATTAGCTAAAATCTGTCACGATGCAATAATATGTGTAGTTTATATGACTATGAATAAAAAATTCATTGTTATAATATTATCATTATAATCTCTATTATTTTTTATTACTTGAACTCAAAATTAAATAATAATGAATATTGTATACTTTTCCATAAATAATTTGTACAGGACTCATATATAGTACTGGCATAATTTAAATGTTGTTAATACATGTAAAGCACAAATATTGAAAAAAAAAAAAAGAATAATTTTTTTCAATGAACCAAATTCACTCAACTCTCATAGTAAATCCAATATATTTGTATAAAGCAGCCATTCACTGTGCATAAATACAACATAATCAGCTGTTACAATACACATATAATCAGAACAGAATTGATCCCAACAACACAGCGAGATATGCTGAACAAAAACACACAATATCCCTTGGCTATGAGCAAGTCTACCTCCAAGATACTGATCTCAACATTCACCAGAGCACACAGCACAGCACCTATTTACCTTGTCTGCATTAACGTCAACCATCCAGCGTTATACGTCGCGCGACACTGTATCGTCGTGGGGACCAGGTGCAGTTGCAGCTAGAGGGAGAGGGGGTGCTTGCGAGATCCTCTTCCGGGCCACGAACGCCGAACACTGGCGAGCAAGAGAATTGCCGGGTCACTCGCGCGTAAAAACGCCGTCTACATAGCTGCCTGGGACAGTGGAACAACGTGACGCGGCGCGTCGCGACAGCCCCGTGCCACTCGCTTACCCGTACTATTTACGTTGGCCGACCGCCGTTCCGTTGCTGTCCGCGGCTGGCGTTTTGGCGGGAGGCCCGGGCGCGTTCCGCGGCCCCGTGTCGCTCGTCGCTGCCGGCAGGTCCTCAAGGATGGCGTGGCGGCTGGCGCGACGGCTCCTCGTCGCTAAACTCACCGCGGATACACCGTCGTCCGGGCGATGCTCGCTCAATTGTCATCCGCGGGACTACACGGTGGCCTACTTGGTTGGACGCGTTTCCACGTCAGTCACGACGGACCTCGGGCACGATTCGTGATCACGACACTGCCCTCACACACGTTCACTGCGGCGTCGCGCAAACATCGCCGCGCCGTAGACACTGCGTCGCTCCGTAAACCGTGCTTATAGTGGGAATGCGAAGAAAACAGACACAAAGGCGTCCATTTTGCTCAAGCAGCGAGTTAGCGGAAGTGGCGTAGTGGATATCGCTCTCGGACCAGACCAGGTATTACCGGCGGGGCGCTACGCGGCGTCGCGCGACCAGCGACCCGCTGTAACGCTTTCGACGCGTTCACATTGGCGCGACAGCAAGCAATCGGTTTAGCCCGTAAATTCGATTCGAAAGAAGTTAATGGGTGCTTTCCAGCAATGCACACTGTGTTATACAAAACCAGTTTATTGGTGGCATATTATCTTACAAGATATTTTAGATAATATATGACCAATAAACTGGTTTTGTGTAACACAGTGTAACGTAGCTGGAAAACACCCAATACGCACAAGTACATCCGTAAGGGATCATCTTCAATGGAAAATCGTACGCCGTAGCGTACTATTCTTCTATAATTCGACTATAATTGGTCAATTTTTTTTTACGGTTCCGGCATAAGTTAACGGATTACATCCATCATAAACCAGCTTTTAAGTTCAATTTTACGTACAAGTATGGCCATTGCATTGTCAATACTTAACGTAACGTAACATGTTGAGGGCCATCTACAATAGAACATCGCAGTAAGAAATTGACCAATCACAATCGATTATTCTTGTAAAACTCTAATATGATTGGTCAATTTCTTACTGCTACGACGTACGATGCTCTATAGTAGATGGCCCTTTACTGTTCACTGCCATACTCATTGTAGATGGCCCTTAAGTGATTACGATAACCAATTGGAATAAGGCAATCAGTAAATAAAACACTCGGATTGGTTGGCTCGTACATTCACACCCACTTACGAAATTGTAAAATAGCCTTAAGAAAGAATAAAACAAGTATATAACACAACACAGGAAAGAAAAGGAACAAAATTCCATTACAAATCAGCTTAGCTAAAAAGAACAGACTTCTTATTACGTCCTTTACTTCCCTATATATATAATAGTTGCATTCTGCATTCAACAGTTGTACAATAATTGAGCAATTCGTCAATATAATTGCTCTAGATTTAGAAATCTAACAGTAAGAAGCGATAATCACTGATTGCTCACTGAACGCTTTTTCGCTGAACGTGTCCAATTTCAATGCAACTAAAAGGAACAAACTTATTCAATCTAACTTTCCTCTTGAATGAGGGCATGGCGTAGAGTCACTCACAGACTAGGTGGCTAAGCCATATATTGAAACTGAAACTTGAATGAGGGAATAAACAACTTGAATGAGGCGAGCAACATGTGTACGTTTTTGCATAGTATATAGTTGAATAGGTAAATATTCAAAATTTGAACAATCTTTAATTTTAATGGTAATATATTTCATGCCTTTTATGTAAGATAAAGTTTAAATTATTTAACATTATCGTTTATCATGGTAATAGAATTTTAGTCTTTCAAAAAAATGTTTTTCAGGTTAAGATGTTTATCGTGCACTAAACTTTGTAAATGCCTGAATATTTATTAAATTTTATTAAAATTTCTAATCTCTCTCTAGTCTTTCTGCAAATGCAAAATGAATAAAGTTAAAGTTTATATAAACAACTCTGATTAAAACATTAAGAAACTTATGTAACCTAATGTATTGATGGATACATGGTAGTGATATAATTATTTATGCGCCACAATAAAATGTATTTATGTAAATAATTATTATTTTTATAAACAGACCAAAAAAACGTACATATATTGATTATATTATATTTTCATATACAATCATTGTAATGGTATTGCAGTATAAAAATTAACCTGAAACAATTTTTATTAATAATTGAAAATTTTATGTTAATTTTGTCTTATTTTTACCAACAAATAAACGGAATCAGTATACTTCTGTCGAAATTTAAGATAACGTTTATATTTTAAATGTTAATATATGAGTTTTAAGCAATAAACATAATAATAATTGTATTTAAATCTGGTTAAAATAAAAATTATTTCAGTTAAGATCTCTTTGAAGTATGAGTTCCCAACAAATGGTTCAGCTGGTCCATAAGCTTAGGACAGCTTCTAGGATCTCTACAGATACATTTAGCAAAATTAACATTAAAATCAAGAATTATGAAATGCCTGAAAGGTTTAAAGGAACTTTTCTTGAACGTTGGGGTAAATTAAAATAATAAATGTTATTGAGATGTCACATTGTTTTTTATATTATATTAAACAGTTTCATATTTTGCAGCAAAATATTGGCACAATCTCTATATAGATTATAGAGATGTTGCAATTGATGTAGCCAAAGATTGCAAAAAGCATCCTATACGTGCCACAATATATACTACACGTATGTATTTCTATCTCTATGTATTTTCATGTTATGCCACTTTTAAGATAAATATTATAAATTATGTATTAATATGAGTATGTATTAATAATTATGTGATATAGTTTTAGGATGTAGCTTATATTCTAGTATACACAATCCAGGTGAAATTTCGTTTAGAGATAATATGATAAAATATAATTTGAAACTAATGTTGCTGGGAGAACCTATACGCAACCCTGTTGCTGTGAAGCATATAGAACAATTGCAGCAATATTATAATGAAGGAATCATCAGAAGAATAAATTTAGGTATTTCATCCTTAATGTGGGTAGATAATTATGATGAAAAATGTTCTTTATACAAAGCTGTGTGTCCATATCTCAAACCACGTTATGTAACTTTTTATAATAGAATCGTAGATATAGGTTTTTTAGACAAGTGGTGGGTGTTAGAAAACAAAATGAAAGACTATGATGTAAATGAAGCTGAATTTAATAATTTTACAAAACAATCTATAGATACAGCCTAAATAGTGTTACAGATTTCTATTGTCAGTATTATAAATGGATATAATACACTTCAATCAAGTCTTTATCATTTATATAATCTCATAAAAAGTAAATGTAAGTTTCATAAGAGGACTCCTGTATAACAAAGCATATATATTTATAAATTAATAACTTGAGTACAAAAATACACTATTGTGTATATAAAAATTATTTTTAATATAGTTAATTCTGTTAACACTGTTAACAAAATTTTATTGCAGGACAGGCACGTTTGTAAATATTAGAACATTATTAAAATTATATTAATTGAAAATTATCTTTTTTATATTATTATGTTTGTCAAATATTCAACTCCATAAAATTTATAAGAAAATTCCAATAATGTTTCTCAAATCACATAATTCAGTGATACAGTTATAAAGAAATAAAATGATAAATCCTGTGAAAAATAAACTAAATAAATTAATGTAAATTTATTTAGTGTTCATCAATTAAACAGTACGATTTTTATATAAAAATATAACAAACATATTTATTATAGCTTATTTTAAGATTTATCACATATCTCCTCATAAAAAAGGGCCTGTGAATTGTATTCTACAAAAATAATATCTTTATTATACCTTTATATATATAATCTTGTATATATATAATCTATGTATATATATAATCTTACTATTTTTAATAGTTTTCACTCACGATTCAGAGGTAATGTTTATGAATCTGAAATTCAATTAGTAATAAAATTTAATTAATATTATTTTTTTTTTCTAGAAGTATAGTATATTAATATAAAACGTTATATTCGTATATATTACCAGCTTGTACGTAAACTATGGCTGTACGGCACGGAATGTAGACCATCATTTTGTGTGGATATGCAGAAAATGATTCTGGTTGCGTGGAATGCTGCACATTCACGTCTACTCGAGTTTGTCCCCCAAACTGTTCATCGTCACTGCATAGAACGATTTTGTAAGATCCTGGATTTTTTATACCAACTGGATAATCGGCAAACGATTTGTTTGGATGGAAATTGAAGACAAACACAAGATCAGCTCGGTCGAAGACAATCACCTTGTCGTCTTCATGCTTCCAACTCACATAGCCCTACAAATTACAATTCCAAACTCAATCTTTATCACTTAAATCACGTTGAACATTCAATTCGTGCAGTTTCTTTAAGTTCTAATAAGTGTGGAAGGATAAACGTAGAAACATATAAAAGTTACTTTACAGGGTTAGCATGTAACCATCCGTATTTTTCTTCGAGCATGTTTATAGCACGATCCCAATTATTCATGTATCTGTACTTGAGCAACTCATCATCCACCAAATTCCACTGACGTCTCGCGTAATGATAACTATTTCCGTTTCCAACCCTTGGAAAGTCAAGCCATTCAGGATGGCCAAATTCATTGCCTATACAACATATATTTTCATATACCAACTTAAAATCGTTATTACTTGCCTTCCTTCTAAGTTCAACACATATTTAAAAATAGAATATCTTATGTAAGTTTATGTGAGCACGTTACTCACCCATAAAGTTCAGATAAGCTTCGCCACCCAAAGCATGCGTGATCAACGTGATTAGATTGTGGAGAGCAATACCACGCGAAATAATATCGCTAGGTGAAAGAAGACTCATATGCGTATACATCTCCTTATCCATAAGCCAAAAAGCTATTGTTTTGTCGCCTACGAGAGCCTGATCGTGAGATTCGGAATAAGCCACCGTTTTCTCCATCCATCTTCGATTGGACAATGTCCAACAAATTTCCCCAACTTTCCAATCTTCATCTTTCACCTCTTTTAACAACTTAATCCATTTGTCGGGAATAGCCATAGCTAATCGATAATCGAATCCCACACCACCTTCAACAACTGGCCTTAAGAAAAAAAAGAAGATATATAAATCATAAATTATTTTATACAAGAAAAATTTTTTTATTATATAGTAAAACTTTTATTTTGCATTAATATTTATTAACGTTAATATATATTTTATACCTGCAAACGCCTGGCATTCCACTAACATCTTCAGCTATTGTGATCATTTCAGGATACAAGTCATGCAACATGTGATTAGCAATCATCAAATATGCTACACCTTCCACATCAACATTCAGACCATAATATTCATCATAATGTCCACTGAAACCTTGTCCAAAGCCTCTTGAGTGATACAACATCGAAGTGACACCATCGAATCTGTCGAATGTCCAAACCATTTCATCCAAAAGTTATCCACATGTTATAAATTTCTTTTCCGCAGCATCGGAACGATATTGTGATAGATTAATAACAAAATACCTAAACCCATCGAAGCCATATTCCTCAATGTACCAACGTAAGTTGGATAATAAGAATCGGAGTACCTCGTACTCGCCATAATTGAATAGTCTACTGTCCCACAGTGGATGTTCGCCACGGGAGCCGGTGTGAAAGAAACATGCATCCGTACCATCAAACATATTCAATCCATCCAAGGTATTTTTGGACGCATGCGAATGTACCATATCCAGCAGCACATAGAGACCATGCTGATGCGCCACATCTATCAATTCCTTTAATTCTTCTGGAGTACCATAACGAGATGAAGCAGCATAAAAGGAAGTCACCTTATCAATTTGAATGGAACATTAGAACTGACTTTGTGCATATTCATACATTTTAAAATTCAATATACACATAAGATGCAAATATACACCTGATATCCGAAACTAGCGTAATAAGCATGCTCCATGATTGCCATTAATTGTATTGCATTGTATCCCTGTTTTACAATTCTTGGTATTATATCTTTTGCAAATTCCAAATAAGTACCGACCCGAAACTGTTGAGTACTAATTCCAACATGACATTCATAAATTCTCAGACTCTCTGGTTTCTTTGGTTTAGGATGCTTAAACTTGTATACCTAAAAAAATAGAAAGGCAAATATGTTATTACATCTCCTGATTATATATCGCATGCAGACATTTCCAATGATAATTATTTAATACATTTTCTGGAGGTGGATGCCATATATGATGTCTATAAGTAGTCCCTTCAGATTTGTCTGCTGGCTGTGTTACATAAGTTGCCCAAGGACTCAGTCTTTCAAGCAATTCATTATTATGATCTTTGATGATAATTTTTACTTCAGAAAGGTGTTTTATAGGGCTATTGCCGTCTGCATTTGGAGGTAAACGCAGTTCCCATTTACCATACTCCAATTTTTTATATGGTGTGGAAGTTTTATTCCAATTATCTTTACAAAATTGCATCAATTAAAAATAATTATCTTATAATGTCAGAAGCTAGATATTACTATGTATAAAATTCTTACTAAAATCTCCAGTTAGAAATACTTCTTGTGCAGCAGGTGCCCATTCCTTCGCAATAACACTATTATCATCCAGAATATGAATTCCAAAAGTTTGGTACGCCATTGCAAATTGTTTTAAATCTCCATCTCCTGTCTCTATGTTTTCAGTATAATCTTTAAATAAGGCATACCTAAAAGTATAAGTATTGTTGTATTTAGTACTATATTTATAGCTATATTTTCTAAACTATAAAAATTAAAGAATTCTTTTTAGGGTTATATTCTATCACTTGTACAAGTAGTAAAAATTATACATATAAAAGTTTGAATTGTATAAATAAAAAATATATATAAATAATTATAAATAAATAAAGATATACAGCACCTTCGACGAATGTCATTCTCATATGGCTTTAAATAAGGATCTCTATCCAAAAGAGCTTTTATTTCTGGAACCTCGACTTGCGAGGGATCCATGCTGGACCACTTTCCTCCCATATTTCTGAAATCACGGGCACAAATAAGTTTAACAAAACGCGACCGAAAACGTAATTAAACTCAAACGTAGACCGGCTAAAATTTGAATGACATATCAAGGTGATCCCCTCTTTGACGACGTGCACCACGATACACTTTTATCCTACCTTAAAATATGAAGAGAAAGAACAGAGTGCAATTCGGTGCATGTAATTATGGACATGACAAATCATCATGCTGCTACATCGTTTACATAATTGTCGCTCCCATAATAAGATACGTCACGTGTGACAAGTTTTAAGACCTAACCAAACCTAACTTATGATAAATTATGGTTGCTTTCTAACAAGAGACACAAGTCGACACAAGTATTATCCTATCTTTGAGTACTTTCCAGTTGCGTACCCTGTGTTACATAAAACCAGTTTATTGGTTGCATATTATCTTACAAGATATTTTAGATAATATGTGACCAATAAACTGTGTACACGCACCGGCGTAAATGCCGTCCGTATATCCGTGTGACTCGCACACGATACGCGTCAAGGTGCCAATCATGGGAGCGTTCCAGCGTCGAGCGTTAAAGCGTTAGCCAATTAACGTATCAGGTCCTAGAAGTATACTTATAGTTTTTGCGGAAAGTGGCACATTGATTGGCTACCGCTTTAACGCTCAACGCTCGATGCTCCCATGTAAAGCCTAATGTCCACGATACTAGAAATCGGTCCGAGTTCTCGGACCGAGAAATGTGTAGTCAATCAATTTAAATGGAAATTTAAATAGAAATTGTTGATCGACTTTAAAAGCATTGTGAATATACAAAAATTTAGCAACTTTATGTGCATCAAATTTTATAACCGAGCGGAGCAAGGTGTTACGTGTTTTTCAATAAATGCGGGACATCGAAGATTATTAGTATTTCTTCTGATCGAATCATGAACGTGTACGAGGTTTGTTTAACGTTATTTTCTTTACTCAATTTTGACAAGGCTCTTCGTTGAGTTGAGTCGTAATCACAAATTGTAGCTTTGATTTTGATACCAATATCTTGCAGCTGCTCAATTATATGTTTTAACAAAAATTTAAGATTATTGCAGGATATTGTATCTGTCGTAAAGTAATAAGCTATAACTTTCTTCCACGATTTCCGTATATCGCGATCAGAAAAACAAGTGCATGATTAGCTGCATTTGCAGTTCGACCCAACTCACCTAGATCCTTATAACCACTAATGATCTGTTTGTGAGCTTCATAATGGAAACCTTTGCTTAAAGACACCTCATCAAAAATTATTGAAGCATATCTATTCCGTTCATGCATGTCATCTATTTTAACTTTTAACTGTTTCAAAAGGGCTTCGTTTATTCCCGTTTCAAATGGAATCTTTGATAAAATACGCTGCAGATTACGCGGAGATGGCAACTCGAAATATTCACGCAAAAACTTATAAAGAGAAGGATCACGCTTATACATGGACAAGGCAAATATCTTATCTTGTTCTGTCCATCTTTTTCCGAAGTTTTTGTGCGAAGCATTCAATAATTGAGAGTTAATGAATGCTTTGGTAACGTCGTTCAGTTTTGTACTAATGCATTCGAAAACATTGTTGTAATATTTCTTTTTCAAATCTGCTAATTCGTTCTTCGTGTCTGCCATTTTTTTTTTCATTTTTGATAGTTTAACCGATATTGCACGTTTAATTGCATATATGCGTCTGTATCGTTCTAACTCTGTCTCTGAAGAAATCCCTGCCTTTGAACGTAAACTCTCGACTCTTTGCAGACAATTTTTGACGATACTATTTGAACAAGTCTTATTTGGAGAATTATTCTCTTTGTTAACAGCACATGAATCTTTACAGGTTTCCTCATCGCATATACACATTACTGCATCCGCACATACTTTCTCATTATTTACATCGTCTACAGAATAATTAGCATCTTTACTATTATTACTAATAGCAATATCTAACGTATTAGTGTCATCATGTGGGCGAGCAGGATTTTCTTCACACACAGTGTCAACATTTACATGGCTGTTGAATGAATTTGTATGTACGGTAGATGCATTGGCATCATTTAACGGACGACAGTAATTCAGGCCAATTTTATCGGTTGACAAAGGAGGCGATATTTGTACTGGAATTAAATTATCTGCTTCTTCAATTTTTTTCGGTACTACATTTGGGTTCAATAAATGCTTTGTACAGTTAACAAAATCTACTGTTCGGAAATGATCCTCGCAAACGTGCATCCTCTGACAGTTTACGGACATGCCAATGCCACAAATAATTTTCCATTTCGCACAAAGATCATGATTTTTCGGAAATTTGTAAAAATGTTTGTTAATGCTTCCATCAACGTTTACGTAGTAACTATTACTACATTCGGAAAACTTACAAGAATATTTCTTTCGCGGAACCATTATTTTGTAAGTACATGAAAGAGAGTTTATCAAATCTTGAAATTTTTCTTGTAAATTTTCCTGCTCACGACAATATCCAAGAAATCAAGAACTCATCGCAGTATCATTGAAACTTACATTAATATCACACTTTTTAATTATTCTACACTTATGGCTCCTGCACACAGGACGCGGTAATGCTTGCCGCGCAGCGGAAGTTCGCGTGACAGTCAATCAATATGCTGTTTTCTGTAATAACCTTCTAGCTCTTACGGAAAAACAACATATTGATTGGCTGTCGCGCGGGCTTCCGCCGCGTGGCAAGCATTACCGCGTCCTGTGTGCAGAAGCCATGAGGTGCGTTCGGTGCGAACGTCATTCGGGTGCACACGCTATATTGGAATACAAGCACTGAAATATATACTATCTGGAACGCGCGCTACCTCTTGAGTATTGCGGGATGAGAGAGAGCATGTTTGTAGGTCTCAGTCAGCGCTCTGTCTTTGTCTAGTACAGTCTGAACCAAAAGCTAAGTCGGTTGATTTCTAAACATAAGCTGAATTTCCGAATTAGGAGCCATCTTTGCTTTGTTTTTCTTAATGATAAGTCGATAAATGAATACTAATAAATGAGAAAAAACATATATATTTTTTTTATATCTTAAACTTTCGTTTATAAGCTTAAGTCATTGCCATTCAGTGGTTATTGCTTTTCATATTATCTCTAACTTTTAACTTTGATTGTATCACATTCTCCCCACTTTCGATTATACTATGAACCAGACAAGTATAAGAGAGGAAACAACGAACCTCTCTCTCATCCCGCACGCCTCAAGAGGCAGCGCGCGTTCCAGATAATATATATTTCAATGAGTACAAGAGATACGAGAATGAGATAAAAAGAGAGAAAAAGCAGTCTGACGTTTTCGAATGCGCCCTAAAACGGGAGAAATCTTATACTAATAGCGGATGTTTTAAAACAACTCTAGATACGATTACACGCTACAGCTTCAACAGTCAACAAAAATTTCATTTTATTTCATCTCAAAAGAAAACAGTAAAGAAGTAAAACAATGAAATTCAAGAATCAACAAAAAAATTTTATTGGCGATACAGATGGATGCAATCGTGTTACGTAAAAGTATTTAAAACCAATGACTTGTAAAGTTTCACACACAAGAAAAAATGTTACAATGCATTTACATAATTGTATATTCGTTGAGAAAAATAGAAGTATGCGAGTAGCAGTACACTTCAATCAGTGACGCAACCAAGTCAAACATTAATTTCCCATACGTCATAAAAATTCATTATTACACATTATTACAGTTGCAATATTTTTATACGATTTTGTCACTAAATAGCACGACAAAGTAACTTATGCGCAATAATCGAAAAATAAAAGTGGATTACTGAAACGTTGATGTTTTTGTACTAATTATATGTATATTCTGCATAATCATATTTTAAAATGACTTTGATATACTATATTAAAATCGTTATAAAGATAATAACTAATATTTTGACCACATTTCCAGAATATATATAACTTAATAAATAATTATTAAGTAAATAATTATATTCCTAAATATATTTTAAGAATACAGGATGATACGATCACAAGGCAACGAAATTCAAGAGAAAAAACAACTTTTTCAAAATCACAATTTATATTACACATAACACCACTAATACTTGTTTTAGCTTTTACGGATCTTTATTTAACTATATAATGTTACGATTAGAAACGTGTTTATTTATATAAGAATATATATTTATATTTGTATATATTTTTATAAGAAAAAAATATTAGAAAAATATAATTAAGAGCACTAAATAATTAATAATATAATTACTTAATAATATAATTAAATAAGCCCATTAAAAATTACTCAATTTTGACTGTCCCAACTTCATTGTGTCTAAACCATTTTTGCAGCCTACTATACAATTCTTACAATTTTCTTTACCTTGAGACTTCTCCAGGATAAATATTTATTTTTTAATATTTAATTTAATAAATATTTATTTTAACACGATCGCATCATCCTATATTTTTATGTATAACACTAACGATAACCTAAACGAAAACAAAACGTTAGTTATAATTTTTGTATATTAGTGTCTTAATATTGCAATACAATTTAGCGTAAATATACCAGTATTTTAGGCTCTTATTAGCTCACTTTTAATTTTCGATTGTACATCTAAAAGCTTTATACATTATTTCGTTCATATATCATAATTTTTAATATAGAAATTGCATCTTACGTTTTAAGAGGCATAAGTGTCGCGACATACACGTTGTTGCAGCGCATACTTATTTTAAACTAAATAATTTCATCGCAGTTTGGATTACGCACTAACACACAAATATATTTCATTGATCTTTGTTCTCAATTTTATTCGCATAAGAGAGATCCTTTTTAGATAGAATGAGTTAGTGCAAGAAAAAGAAAAAGAGATTGTGCGATTAATTAGAAGAAATTTATTATTGTATCTCTTATTTATCATTCTTTCAATTACCAACTGACACGATCACATAAAAGTATATGAAAATAAATAAATATATTTTTCAAAGTACATGATATTAAGGAATTTTAAACGGTCGACGAAGTTCAAACATTGAACATCTTGCAGCTTTGGTCCATACTTAGCTTAACTAAGCATTAAAAAATCATTTAAAGAAATGTAGACTTACATTAATACTTAAAGTAGGTATAAATAAGTGATACAGATAATAAGAATTGTTCTACTAGTTTTCGTTGTATTCGCTATGTAATATATAATACTTGTAACAAAAATGCACAACAAATGACAGAATTGCAGACAAGACAATTGTGACAAAAAGCATCGAAATGTTTTAAAAGAATATTACCGAAAAGGAAGTAGATTTAATACGTTTTAATTTTGTGAGATTAAAAGTAGATATGTTAAATGTTAGCATCTTGCATTACAAGATTAAAACGTATTGAAAGCTTTATTATAATTGTATTATATTTGCAGGAAGATAGAGATTAGCACCTGACACTAAAATATTTGGACCAATTTTCTGCCTTAAAATGGTCTCTGTATAATAACTCGTCTAGCATGCTTTTTGTTAGTGGACTTTTGGTCTTGAATTCGATTTATTAATGTAATTTGCGGTACTGTTTATAGGAGTATTATTGACCGAAGTGTCGGATACTTCGTCGCTGCTATTACTGCGAATATCACCTTCCATCTGTAATATTTTTTCCACAAAAAAAGATTAGAGCATGTATATACAGGGGTATTTATTCGTTAACATTGAAAAAATGTCTCAACGAACGTGCACGCGACAATCTATATAAATCAGCAGCACGTACCTGACCAGCATTGAAAGCGTTATATGCGATCTTAAGGATTAAATAAGTCCAAATCGCGTGGAGAAACAGTAGTAAAATTAATAGAAAATTAAAAATATAATACGCAGGGAACATCGGCACTATTTTAGGCGCCTCTATAGATGTGCTGCAATATATAATCCGTATTAGTACAATTTTCACTTAAGATTCAATTAGTTTACATAAGAGGACAGGAATTCTAAAGAGTACAGGAATTTTAAAGAGTACATACCTATAAATTATCCAAAATGGATATATACCCATACGTGTCACAATCCACAGAATTGTAAAAATAGCAAATATGAAATCACATAATTTCTGATAATTTGCATATTTTGCCATTTTCGCTGCCTACAAAATAAACGTGTACATAAAATAAAATATAGACTATTGAAGTGATTTTCTCTTTAGATTCTTACCTCCAAAAATATGTCTGCACAATCGTGTACCAGTAAAACCAGAGTGCCAATCCTCATTAGATTACCAACCCATGAGAAACACATGAGTGCAATAGTAGCTATGTGATGAATAAACATTTGCCAGAAATCTTTCCTCTTTACGTCAAAGAATTGAGAGAAACTTAATGACCAATAAAATGCCATTGATACCATATAATACCACCATATATCATTAGTAACAGGGTGGTAAGGATAATTATAGTAACAATGATTTATATCCCATAGCCATGGCTTATCCCATAGGACAATAAGGCCATAGAAAAATGAATATATATAATACAAACATCTCCAACTGCAAAGCAAGATAAAATTATATGTATATTCTTAATATATACTGCATTTGATATATATACTTGATACATATATACAGTAAATAAGAATAATAACCAACCTATTTTCACAAAACTTTGTAAGAGTAGATGGCTTGTCCTGAGAACGACGTAATCGAAGCCATCTTTCCACTTGCCTTTCTGTCCAATCTAATTGTTTAGCCAATCCCAGTATCTTAAAACATATTTGTAGGTTACAAAATGACGACATGGATAACAGATCATACAGGCTACGTTCTGTAATACGCATATGCGCGCATTTTCTACAGTACACATAATATAAACTATAAATAAATACAGACATATGTGTATTACAAAACGCATCTATAGATCACAGATCAAAAGGACCACATAGATAACATAGATTACATAATGATAACAACATTCCAATATTCACTATTTTTAGTAAAAATTCATATGTAATATAAACTATAAATTTTCAGTACCAACAATGAATATCAGAATGCAACCAATATAGCTTGTGCTTAACCAAATAGTTATATAAATGCCGAATAAAAATAATTTAAAATTTATATATACTTTTAGACCTGCCAATTACAGCTAACTCCTAAAAGTCAATCACTACTCAACTACTGCGTTTTTGTTAAACACAGCCATAGATGTAATACATATATAAATACATCAGTTAGTAATTAACATGTTATATATTTATATTAATTATTTATTCTATTTGTGTGTATATATATATGGTATATATATATATATATATATATATATATATATATATACACATGTGTGTGTGTGTGTGTGTGTGTAAAGTAGAATGTCTGTCTCCTCTATACTCCTGAACTCTTTGACCAATTTGGATCAAATTTTGCATAGTTACTCTCTAAGACCATGACAAAAATATAGGATACATGAAGCCTGAATATCCCATCTCTTCCCACTGATTTCATCCTTTTATTTTGTGATAATTTGGGCAACATTCAATAGTTTTAGCTATTATTGATATATTTATAATTCCGCAGTTATTTATATGTATATACCCATAAAAAACTTTGCATAATAAAATATATTGGTTATATTGCTAGCAATTGTAATATTGATCAGTATTGTATAATATACAAAAATGTTAAATTTGATTATGTATTAGATTATATAAGGTTTCTTCACAAAATGAATTACTCACTTGCTTATGCTTAGTTTTCTTACTAAGATATGCCTTTTCTAGTATTTCATTGGGCACTGCTTTTTTACTCCTTGTATTTTTAATACTAAGTGATTTTCCAAAAGGAGCAAACCAGTACCTATTTGAGAAATTATATTAATTACAACAGTAGTTTATTTTTGTAATGAAATTTGTTTGCAACAGATATTATAATCAATTTATCTACATTCATAAATTTATTAGTAGTAATATATATAATACATATCAAATGTCTTAGGAATAGAAATAATATTTGAAAAAGAAATATAGATTACAGGAGAAAACCTTAACTTAATGATAAACCTACCTTTCAAGAGTATATCTTATCCCTAGAAGAATAAATGCCATAGGCAAGGGATATATCAAGTGTTGATAATTAGCATATTTATTGTCTGCAGTTGGACTGATATCCTGCCATGTTATATTAGGCGGCAACCAGATATCTGGTGACCAAAAGGCCGCAGACACATTACTCAGGATATTCATTTGCCTGTGTCCTGCAAGAGAAAATATTTTATTTAATAATTCCTCTTCTGAGAATTTGAGTAGAAGCTACAAATACTAAGGCCCATATTCTAAACCCTCTTTTATCGATAAAAATGCCTTGAATATAGCTTCTCAACCAATTAGGTAGGTCCTAAGCCTCTTTTAAAGGTACTTTTATAGATAAAAGAGGATCGAGAATATGAGCCTAAATCAATATATAAACAACACATTCTGGGTATCACTATTCTATCATAAACTATTCATTATCGTATAGGCGTAATCATACAGAATAAAGAAGAAATCATACTTAAGAAAAGTCCAATAAAAGTTCATTGAGCAATCATTGTTGTGTCTTTCTGGCTTATCGCCATTTATTAAACATATACACTATCAAGTTCAGAGTAGGGACGGGAAAATATTGTCGCACAAATAAACATACGTCGGGACAAGAAATCTCGCGCGACGGGGATCCACGAGAATCGCGTGAACGGCGACCAACACACTTACCTGGAGTCAACTCGTCATGTACCGCGCGGTCTGAGACACGCCACCGGACGGACCAGAATGCGGAACGCGCGTGTTCGCGTTACGGACAGCGCCTATGACGATGAGTAATAGTAGTAATGCAGTGGTGTGGTGTGGTGTGGTGTGGTGTGGCGCGCTTTGTAGCACGCGTCGTATCGTCACGAAAACGGTGACTGTCGATACCCTTAGATACGGGCGCGCACCAAAGAGAGTCGCGCAATCGCCGGTCAACGTTGAACGCCTCTTCGCTATCTCCCTGCCGGTAGCTGAGATCAGCGATAAAGATCGAATTCGTCACCAATGCGACCAACGACCGTTGGTCGACGTATCGACACCACTACCACCACGACCACGACCACCACCACGAGGAATAGTTGTCATGCAATCGAGATAACGAATCTATTGGCCGCGTGATCATTCCGCTCGCTTGACGGTCAGACACCGGCGACGTCGTGAGACCGCGAGATATCTCTATTAATGAATAATTGCTTGAACTCCAACGCGTCTCGATGTTCCGGTAAAAAGTACACCCGGCAAAACCGACGAGCGCGTCCGATTACACCCGATTTTATCTGTATAGTAGGAGTCTCTTGTTCACCCCCACTCTCTCTCTCTTTCTGTCTCTCTTGCCCTTGCTAGATGTCTTTCTTTTCTTATATTGTTTTCTGTATGGACGTCTCCATGGAGTCAGCGATGGTTTCCCTTCGCTATTTTATTTCGGCAATTCGATGTATCAGCGTTTTATCGCAGATACAGTGTTTACGTATTTTTTTATAAAACTTTATCATACGTGTTAGTATACGTAGTTATTTAACGAGAATTGAGGAGAAAAAGTTGTTTTGCGGTCATCGGTGATATTACGTACGACCACGAATCAATAGAGCCGTTGGACCTAGAAAGTAACCGACCACATTGATCCGATTTCACGATGCTAGGGTCTGTTTACTCTTATTAACGTAGTAGCTTGTTAATGTTATATTATCGTGCCATAAAACGTTTTCCGATAATTTATCATAAAGTAACAGTTTATTTGCGCTCGAGCAAAATGGCGACCATAGTCCATTTCTTTTTATATCTCTAGCGTTCTCAGCGCCACTAGCGGTGTGTTCGTTGAAATAGCGTCCTGTGTGACACTGAACGACAGTGACCATTAGAAGTTTACCTTGACGTATCTGTTACGAAATTCTTTTCTAACGATCAGGCTAATTTCGTATATTGCACGAAGAAAGTTTAAAGATAAGAAAACTAAGATCTTTATTCCGAATTCTCTTTTATCGATGAAAATGCCTTTAAAAATTTTCCGACTTAGTAAGTAAGCGTAACTACAATCAAATTATGTCTACTTTTTCTGATTTGAAGGAGAAGTAAAACAGACATAATTTAACTGTTAGCTTATCAAAAAATTGATAAATGTGACTTATAAGCCTTCTGACTTATAAGGCTTATAAGCATATTTATAAATATCTGAGTTATCATGTATTTGTACATTCAGTTGAAATGCATCATGGAAATAAATTTTGCAGCCGAGCGCTCCGTGTAAAAACTTTTATTTCTGCAGTGAAAAAACAATTCTATAATATATAATAGTAACTCGTGTCTCTTTTCCCTAAGCCTAATAAAAAAATTCGACGTCGCCGAAAAATATTTTCCTATCATCGATATACGCTGATATACCAGGCACCGTGCGTGTCTAAGCGGTCTCTCGGTTTAGGTAGGCAAGTAGGTATTTAAGTAGGTAGGTGGTTAGGTAAGAATTATGCATTATTAATTTCTAACCTCACTGCGCGCACCTACGATTGATCGGATATTGCTTGATTAAACGCTTTATCACGCGTTGATAGATCCTCGCGTTTCTTCTCTCATGCGGCCGAAAGAACTCCTGTGTAGCCACGCTGATTTTGCGCGTTTTCCGCTTGATCCCCGGCGTATGCACTAAAAAGGCACCATCGAGCACGACTAACCGATAATTCAGAAGACACATCTCGAACATCTACAAGTGGATAATAAAATTGCTAACCAAAAAGACAAACCATCATTTGTCGTGAAATTATACGAGCTGTTTTTAATATTTATCTAAAGTTCGTATTAATAACTGTTATTTGAAACTTGTCTTACTCAGATCATAGAAGACACTCAGATCTGAATTTAGGTAAGTTTTTTATTTGAATTATATAATGCATGTGACATTACATTCACAATGAATCAGCTGAAAATTCACGTCAAACTCTAAATTAAAATCTGCGTCTCACCTGAGGCGAGTTTCAAGTGACAACTATTAATACGGAGTAAGTTCCATTTAGCCCCAGTAAGCAAAAAATTATCATCAGAATCTCAAACATCACAAAATCATCCTAATTGTATCCAAGATGTTCTTGGGTATGCGCTAAGACGTCCTAAGTGCATTCAATATAAAAAAATTTCAGAATATTTTGTGCTATCTGGGGCGTTATGAATCTGGGACGTCTGAAACGATTTTATTTCGTTTGTAAATCTTTATTACATCGTGTTTCAAGAGAGAATCTGCATGCTTGAAGAGAATACCTATTACTTTCTATACCTGGGCCATTTTGTCTTGCTTTCCTTCCCAAGACATCTCCTCCGTGTAAAGCGGATCCTCGCGAGTACCGATGAAAACCGGCTCCCACCTATGATGCGGATATTCCCTTCTGGTAATAATTAGCGGCCGAACCTTACCCGGATCCGGCCTGATCATCCATCTCGTCAGCCCGGGAAATCGCTGGCAGTGTGGACAGAGGAACCTGTGAGAAAGGTCTCATTCTCTTACTCCCATGTAATGTATATAAACAAACTTCAATTTGTTTCTCGTAACATGAGAGAATAATTGACAATTCTGAATTCAGGACGTCTAAACGACCTGTCTAGCTTGCAAAACCTATGAGAACAAGAAACCTTTGCAGATATATTCAAAATATTCTATGAATATGCTATGAATATGAGATACGAATATATTTAATTCCAGAATATTCGAATCTGATATTCCACGAATATACGTACAGTATTGTAAGCAGAGATTTATATTTATAACGAGAAAGTATGTTCTCAGAACATCTATAAGATTTATGTGTAATGCGTTCAGATAACTATAAAATTTTCATAACGTTTCCAAATAGCAATATGCATCTATTATATATAAAATTAACATTTCCAAATAGTAATATGTATTTATTATATTATAGTAATGGTGCGTAGCTACGAGATAAAATATTTGAATTATTTCTCTGTAATTGTAGAAACAAAATTAATAATTAATTATTTTGCTATATTTTGCAAATATTCTGCGCACATTCATAGACCATTTATAGTTCTGTCATATGGATATACTGTGAACGTACTATGAACATATAATGGCGTTTTAGTACATTCATAGAATATATAAGTATCGAAAAATTATCATAGAACAACACATTTATAAAATGTCGCTGTGCTATCTGAGTACCTATGAAAATACACTGCCAGACCAGCACGGCAGGCGGCGAGGAGCTCCAGCTTTGTCGCCGGTGGTTGTTCATTGGACTCAATCTCAAAAACAGGCACCACGAAGATCATACCGATCCTGGGCGGTCTGTGGCGCACCATCTCCACGAAGCCGGAAGCCAGTCGTGCGCTCGGCAGCAATTCGATGTCCGACACCAACACGCGGGACGTGTTCGCCGCCGTTCTCGCTACATTTCGAGCCACATTAATAGGGTAGGTCATACTTCTTTTTCGCCTTTCGGTCTCGGCCTGCCGCCATTGAAGATCGGAAGCGGCACAATCACCCTGAGTACGGCTGATCACGCCCACCGCGGGTGGTCGACCAGCCGGAAATACCAGATGGACGGAAACCTGCGATCGGTTACGTCAGGTAGAGTCAAACGTGAAAAGATGACATGAAAAGATCACGACAAAAAAGTTTGATAGCATCATTGTATATACAAAGAAAACTCTATATTCATTAATATTTATAAGAAT